ATTTCTGTAGAGATGTCAGGCTTGGGGAAAACGGGGAATGGGATAAGAGTGCTCTTGTGGACGATTGGTTGCAGCCTGGAGCACCAATGGCTGTTCAAGGGGTCATCTTTCTGAGTCTCCTGAGGATACTGACCGTCCAGTCCTGGTGCACTTGCCCAAAATCTGCAGTTTGTGCATAAATTATCTATTATTTCATTCTTGCTCACATGTGAACAATAAAAATAGAAGACAAAATAACAGAGTTGGAAGGGACCTTGGAGGTCTTCTAGTCCAACCCACTGATCAAGCAGGAGACCCTATACCAGTGGTGGTGAACCTATGGCATGTGTGCCAGAGGTGGCACTCAGAGCCCTCTCTGTAGGCACATGCACCATCGCCCCAGCCCCACCTCCCCCCATGGCCCCCTCCTCACCAGCAGCCCCCCCAGAGGAGAGTTGCCCCCAAGCGCAGTCTGCGCAGAGCAGCACAGCCAAGGGCATGGCCGCCAGGCAGCGGGGACAAGATTCTGTCCTCGCGCTGTCACACACAGATGCTGTTGCGGTGGAGGGTGTGGCTGCCATGGCGCTGCTGGGCTGCCTGGGTGATCTGCGGTGGGCCGTGGAGGCGGTGGGTGGCCATGCTGGTAGGCAGGGCGCAGAGTGGGGGTGGGCGGGGAAGTGGGGTGGTTTTTTGGCACTCGGTCTCTAAAAGGTTCACCATCACTGTCCTATACCATTCTGGACAAATGGCTGTCCAGTCTCTTCTTGAAAACTTCCAGTGTTGGAGCACCCACATCTGGAGGCAAGTCATTCCACCGATTGTTTTCACAATTAGGAAACTTCTCCTTAGTTCTAGGTTGCTTCTCTCCTTGATTAGTTTCCAGTCTTTGCTTCTTGTTCTGCCTTCAGTGCTTTGGAGAACAGATTGATCCCCTCCCCCTCTTCTTGGTGGCAGCCCCTCAAATATTGGAACACTGCTATCGTGTCACCCCTAGTCCTTCTTTTCGTTAAACTATACATATTCAAGACAGTTTAAACCTAGATGGATTTGTTTTGAAAACTCACCGCTGCACTAGTAAAGTTAAAACCCATCTGGAGAATCAGAGGCCCGAAGTCCTGGATTTGGCAGTGATGAAGGGTCAGCCTTTCCTGTGGGTGTGGTGAGCCCAACTCAAATGGAGGGATCCTAGCCAAGCTTCTCCATGAATCAGTTTCCTTGGGACTTGCTTTCAGGTAAGTATGTATTATAAAAGCTCTCATCCTCCATCATCCTTGAGGAGACCTGAAAAATTGGGAAGATGCCAGAAATTGGAGAAGAGCAAACATGGTCTCTGTAAGAAAGGGGGGTTGATGATCCTTACTATGGGGAAAGGCCCCAAGAATTTTGGTCCCAATTTCTTGCTGGGCAATTTGAGGCATAAATATTTAGTTTCCCCAACTTGGAATATTCTTTGGGGAGCCCTCTTTTTATCAGCCTGCTTTTTATAGGTCTCGGAAGACTTTTGTAACACAGTTTTCGTGTTTCTCCAAACTTCTTCCCACCCCCTCACCCACTGATCAAGTGTCCGGGAGGCAGAGGGCACCTGAGGGTATTCAGGTATTGGGCTGTTTCCTGGGGCTGCTCTGAAAGGCGTGTAGCCGGTGCTGCTGTGAACAGAACTATTGTAAGCCACCTCGGTGAAAGGGAGGAGGTCAGTCCAGTAGCATCTGAGATATTGCTCCACCATTTTGTTAGCGGATTCTGCAGCTCCATTGGTAGCTGGATGAAAAGCAGATGATAAGCCTTGGGATGATCCAATTAATTTAAGAAAACTCCTCCAAAATTTTGCTGTGAACTGCACCCCAGTCCGAAATTATTCGCTTAGGGGCGCCATGCAGCCGGTACATATGTTTCAGGAACAATTTGGTCAGTTGTTGGGCAGATGGGAGTCCTTTGCAGGCAATGAAATGAGCCTGCTTTGAGGTCTATCGCAGTCCAGATGACAGTATTTCCCCTACTTTCAGGTAGGTCTACTATAAAGTCCATAGCTATTTCTCTCCCATGGTTGAGAGGGGTCAGCCACTGGTTGCAGTAGCCCAGGGGGTTTCCCTGGAATTCTTTTCATTGTGACACATACAGTACAACTCCTGACATAGTTTTCCACATCTCGCTTTAGCCCCAGCCACCAGAATTGCCGGCGGTGTAGAGTTTTTAAATATCCGAAGTGCCCAGACTGTTTTTTAGGATAAACAATGCCTGGAAGTTCTTTGAAGTGTTTCATTAGTCGGAACGATGGCACTGTGGTCCCTGAGAACCATTTGCTCCCATCTGGCTGTTGGCTGTTTCTGCTGTAGCTCTAGAAAACGCAGAGCCCCCCCCCCCCAGCCTTCTCCTTGCTCTTGTTCAGGTGGCAATGGCAGCTTTGGGGAAGGTGTTCCTACCAGCAGCTTCCCTGCCATCTCCCACCAGGCCTCTCTCCCTCCCTTCATTTTCTCCCTTTCCAAAAAGGGGGGGGGCTTGCAAGGGAGAGACAATTGCCCTCAAGCTTACTAAATGGAAGAAATGGGGGGGGGAGGGATTGCCTACCTTCTCTGCTCCTCTCCCTTTGCCACACCTGTTGTTCCTTTTGTGCAACCTTATAGAAGCCTGAGGAATTCCCAGATGTTCTGATTCTGGGTATCTTCAACCTCTGGCTACCATCCAGCCTCTGCAGCTGTTCCTGGTTCCCCTCCTCTGCATTGTTAGGGCTGCTTTCAATGCCAGTTGTGTGGCTGGTAAACAACTGTTTTCCACAGCCAGGAGCTGATCTGGAGGACAAGGGGATATGCCAGGCAGGCCAAGGAAAGAGAGAGCAGCTTCTCATGTGCCAGAGCTCTGTGTGAGGCAGGAAGCCCCCCCCCCCCCGGCCATGGCATGCAGCCCAAGGAGGCCGAGCTCCTTTGGGTCTGCAGAGTTGCTCAGGCAGGTGCCCACCAGTTTACACAACACAACCCTGTCCCCTTTGAGATATCTGTCTCTGAGAGTGATGTTTGCTGTCATCAGTCTTTGATGCCCAGATGGTGCATCCAGGGTCCTGGGTCAGGCCGGAGGGCAACCTGCATGCTGCTTGACCCCCCCCCCACACACACACCCCAGAATGGCAGCTGCAGAGTTTTGGTTGCTTACTGGCAGGGACTGGAGGGTATGCTTGGGAGGGACTGAAACAGTTTTCAGCATTAATGCTTTTAGTCTTGAATATGGATTTGGAGATCAGAAAGAAGCTTACCAGATGCTCCATCTGTGTAAAGTGGAACAGGAATGAAGGGGGAGGGGTGTCCTTTCCTTCCCAGCCCTTTCAGTGGGGCAAATTCAGCCCGGGGAGTTTGGCTTTTCTGCTGCCTCCAATGGGCCCATCCCCTTGAAAATATCCTCGCCAGGGGGCATGGGAGGTCCCCACCGCAACACCCAGATGTGCACCAGTTCCAGACCCCACACCCATTTCTGGAACCCCCCCCCTTTGGAACTCCTCCCCCCCTGCCCCTGAATAATGACTAGGCTGCCCAAGCAGAGATGGTGATGCAGGTACTGGACAGGAGAGCCCTCCAGCTGGGCATGGACTGTGGGGGGCGGCTGGAGACATACAAATGCAGGCAGGCTCCAAAACTGGAGCTGGCTTGGACCAGCCCTGACAAAAACATCCCTTCCTCTCTAAGGATTTTGCTTGTGAAAGCAGCATTTGCTAAATCCAGGAACGGAGAAGAGGCAGTTTCTGCTGCTGGCAAGTTGCAGCCTCTGCTGGCACACAGTGAAAATCCAAACTGGAAACGTTGGTTGTTTCCCCATCATAGCAATTGGGAGACTGGAGCTCCGGGGGGGGGGGGGCATTCCTAAGCTCTACCCAGACCCAGGCAGCAGGCAAGCCCCTCCCTGCCCCATCCCTGCTCTCCCAGCGAGGCAGGGCCTCCAAGGGGGCCGAAGCTTGATGGGGGATGGGCATCAGGGCAGGATCCTCTGTTGGGACCCCCCCCCCACAAAAGCAATTTGCAGCAGAATCTGCAGAGGGAGATGCTGGGCCGGGTGCCCCGTTTTCTAACGACCCTTTTGATTCAACAGCATCTTTTCCTTTGGGCCAGAAGGAAACACTTCGGGGTGGGGGCACGACACGGAGCCCCTCTCCACAAGGCGCCTAAGTGGCGGTTTTTACCATCCTTGTGCAGAATGGTAAAGCGGAGGAGACGCTCCTTGGCCGCCCGTCCTCTTGCCGGGGGGGGGGGGAGGGGCGGTTTCTCGGTGCTGCAGCTTGGCAGAGCGGAGCCCAGCTTGGGGGGAGCCTCCCTTTCAGGACGCCCGTCTTCCGTCCTGTCCCCGGGCTGGGGTCCCTGTTGGGGCCAGCCAGTCAGGGAGCTGGGGAGCCGCGTTCTGGCCAGTGGCTGCCAGGGAAGGAACCGGGTGAGGTCAGGCAGGGTCTGGCAAGGCTTGGGGGGGGGGGCGCCTCCACGCAGGAGCCCTCCCTCTGCCCCCGAGCGTGTCGAAAGCCACCGGCTGTCTCCCCGCAGGGCCCGCTTTTCCCAGCCCCGGTCCATTGTCTGGCAGGAACCCCCTCCCCCCCCCCGTTCCGGCTCAGGGCCGGTTCGCCCCCCCCCCCAGCGGCTGGGAAGTCCCTCTGCAAAGCCCACGGCCGTTAATTATTGGCGAGGCGTGGGAAGGGGAGATAAAAGCAAGCCCGTCTCCTCGCGTGCGAGATAGTAAATACATTTAATTACGGGACACGCGCTGAGGGATCTCTGCCGCTATTAAGTTTATTAGCAGAGGCATTTAAGAGCCCTGTCGTCGTAACAAAAAGGTCTTGCGTGATCCTAAACGCTCCACTTTGATACCCGGCTCCGAAGCGAACGGGCTTAATTGAGCGGGTGGCTGCCGCCGCCTCTGCTCGGGCTGGGGCGGGCGGGTTTTAGGGCCAATTCACTCCCGCCCGCCGGCCTCCGCGGCGCAGGGCGGCCCAAGGGCTCCCCGGGACGCCGGGCTCGCGGCCCTGACGGCTCTCCCGTTCTCTTGCCCGCCAGGGAGCTGATGCCCCGGACGCTGGAAGGCCAGCTCACCATGGAGAAAACGCCCAGCTACTTCGTCACCGGCGAGGCGCCCGGGCGGATCCACGCCATGGCCAAGGACACCAAGCTGATCGTGGTGGTGCGCGACCCGGTGACCAGGGCCGTCTCCGACTACACGCAGACGCTCTCCAAGAAGCCCGAGATCCCGGCCTTCGAGGCGCTGGCCTTCAAGAACCGGAGCCTGGGCCTGATCGACGCCTCCTGGAGCGCCATCCGCATCGGCCTCTACGCGCTGCACCTGGAGAGCTGGCTCCAGGACTTCCCGCTGGCCCAGATGCTCTTCGTCAGCGGGGAGCGGCTCATCTCGGACCCCGCGGGGGAGCTGGCCAAGGCGCAGGCCTTCCTGGGCCTGCGGAGGGTGGTGACGGAGAAGTATTTCCACTTCAACCAGACCAAGGGCTTCCCTTGCCTGAAGAAGCCCGAGGAGAGCGGCGCCCCGCGGTGCCTGGGCAAGTCCAAGGGCCGGACCCACCCCGTCATCGACCGGGACGTAATTCAGAGGCTGCGCAAGTTTTATAAACCGTTTAATGTCATGTTTTACCAAATGACCGGCCAGGATTTCCAGTGGGAGCAGCAACAGGGAGGGCTCTGACGCAGCCGCGGCAGACAGAGCGGTTGTTTTTTTTCCTCCGGAGGTAAATGGCTTTCCTCGAAGAAGCAGCCCTCTTTGCGGCTGGGGGACCGGGGTGGTGGGGTGGTGGGGTGGGGGTGGCGGCGGCGGCGCAGCAGCCTTTGTGAGCCTTTACAATCCCGGCCCTTCCCCTCCTTCGAGTTGGGACTCCGGCCACCCTGGTCCTCCCACCCGAGGCCACCAGGTTGAGGAAGGCTGCCCTGGGCTCCCGGGCGTGCAGAGTGCCTGGGCTGGGCGCTGCCGTGCCCCGAGCAGCCCTGGTCAGGAGCTGGCTTCACAGGCAGGGCCCCAAAGCCCAGCCACCCACCGGAAGGTAAAATGGCAAGAAGGTGTGAGATCAGGCTTCTGACCTGAGAGCACCTGAGGTGTCAGGTGAGAAATAGCAAGGGGTTTGTGTTCCCACTATATCAAGATGATGGCTGTAGCCCACCAGCTTTCCATAATCTGATCAGATTTTAGTCATGTTTCATTTTCTACAGAATTGTGATTGCCTCAAGACCCTCAAGCTTTGGATTCAAAATCCAGCCTCCATAATGGCCCGCAGCCTTCTTGTTATTCCAGCTGTCCCCCTCCAAAGCCCAGCACCACAGGCTTTGGGGTCCCCTGACTCTTCAACATGGCTCCCCGCCCTGCTTACAGCCTCATGCTTTGACAGTCGGGTGTCTCCAAGCAGAAATGAGGGCTGAGGCTGCTGCAGTCTGGGCCAAGGAGAAGGGGGGCATCAGGTTTGAGGTTGGGATAAAATGGAAGCAGATCCTCCTGGGAGCTCTCTGTTTTTATAGAGGTAATTTTACTGAGATCCAGTCTGGTTCGTGGTTAAGGGAGCAGGCCAGAAACTGGGAGTTGTGAGTTCTAGTCCTGCCTTAGGCAAAACCCAGCTGGGCGGTCAGCTGGGTGGGCCAGTCACTTTCTCTCATCCTAGGAAGCAGGCAATGGCAAACCTCTTCTGAAAAACCTTGCCAGGAAAACTGCAGGGACTTGTCCAAGTAGCCTCTGAGAATTGGACATGATTTAACAGAAGGGAAAAAAAGTTTATTACAGATTTTAAAAAGGAACATAAAACTAATACAAACTGATGCAAAGTAAGAAAAGGGAAAAGGAAAGAAATCAAAGAAAAAACTAAAGTGCAAGAAAAGAAAAAAAACCCTAAAAGTAGAAAAAAAAAGAAAAAACACAAGCATCTCGTGGCTCCCAATTGTCTTTACAGCAGTTATAAGTACAATTATATATTTACCCCTTACTCTATGGTTACAACATAACTCTCTTCTTTCTATATCTGATCAAATCCATAAACTGTAAATTTATTTTTTGTTTTGTGCAAAATGTCCATAAGGGGCTGCCAGTCAGCAGTAAACATACAGTAGATACAATCTATCAAAGAAGTCAATTTAGCCATCTCTAATGATGAGTTCCATCATCTTCACCAACTATTCTTCCAGTGAGGATAAGGCCAAATCTTTCCATCTTTGTGCATACAATAATCTCATGGCAATTATCAGGTGCAAAACAAAATTCCATGACTTTTTTTCCCAACTGTTTGTCTATTAATCCCACAAGAAAAGCCTCTGAACTCAATTGTTTGTTAATCTTTAAGATCCTGTATTTGAATTTGAATCTGTATTTGAGTTTAGAATTTTTCAGCATTTTACATTTCCACCAAATATGGTAAAATGTCCCTTTTGTTCACATTTCCAATGTGTACATTTGAAGTGCCTTTGTATATTCTAGAAAATTTTTCTGGGGACAATGCCAGCAGTACATCATTTTATAAAAATTCTTAAGATTATAATAGTATAGCTCGCTCTTCTCTTGAGGAGAAAAAGCAACTATAAATCTAACAAACAAAAATGGAGTATGTGCTAGAGCTGACTTTCACATATGATTAAGTTTTGAGTTCCTCTGTTAAATAACGATGTTGTGCAATCTATTTTGCAAAAATTGAAGTGTTGAGGTAGATGGCTTTATAAAAACAAAAGAGAAAAGAAATCTTAGGTTACGGTCTGAGGGGGCCATGCAACTCCTCCTCCCCACCCCCAAGCTCCTCCTGGGACAGCTTGACTCGTTGAAGGATTTGGAAAAGGCGCCTGCATCCCGTCAGACCGGGATTCCCCATACTCAGGACAGGTGCACGCAGGAAGTGACCCCGCTCTTTGCTTGTTGGCCTGGCCTGTGTGCTCTGCCGGGAACCCCAGCCTGGCCTATGGACAAGATTAGCAAGGCCACCTGGCTTCTCCTTAGAGTTGATTCAGTATCAGCTGGTGTGGTTGATGAGTGAGGTTCTGGGGCCACATTTGCCCCTGTCATCTGTCCCACCATGGTGGACGCCACAGCCCACCTCTCTCTCTTGTCCCTGACAAAATGGTGAAAACAGCAAATCTTTCGTGAGAAACAGCCAATGGGACCTCTGACCAAACAGCATGAAGTTCATGAGGAACAGGTACCAAGGGGATGGCTAGCGGGAGCCCTGCGAGAGGTCTTCTTCTGCCAGATGAGCAGCGGGCTGTCCCAAGCAGGGGCCCCAACTCCTCGGGGGGCATTCTTTGAAAGGGGTGCTGCTGCTCACATAACAAGGTGATGCTTCTTCTTTTCCTCCTCGCAGATCCATCTTTAGTGACAAGAGCCTGACCTGACTTCCGAGGGCCAACTGCCTCCTCCCCCCCAGCATTGGGGATGAGCGCTCAGCGGACTGACGAGGCAGCCGAAGCTTCAGGGGATTCCTTTGGCCCCTGATTCCTCTGAGACCAGGAGGATGCCCCGAGAGCCCCCGCTTTGCCCTGGAGACACCTCTGCTGTCCTGAGAGAAGGGGGGGGGGCTGGGTGTCCTTGCTCCCCAGCTGGGGAAGAAGAGCCATTTCACACGTCCTGCACCCTGCGCCGTGTCTTCAGATGTTTATTTTTGCTATGGTTGAGCCACTGAGCAGACGGAGGAGGTCGCCCTGTTCTTGGGGAGCCCCTTCTGGAAAGTGGCATCCCGGTGGGGGAGGCTGCCTGGGTGTTTAATGGTTGGTGTGTCGCTTCCCAACAGAGGAGGGGGCGATTCCGCTGTATGAAACGCTGCCAGTTTCCTGTTTTCTGGACGGCTGGTGCGTTTCCTCTGCCAGCCTCGCCTTTTGCTGTGCAAGAAGACCGTCTGTCTTCTGAGGAAGCCACTAGCTCAGGAAGCATTTTTTTTTTCTTTCTGTTTTGTCTTCCCTGTTTAAATGTCAGCCTCCCTGGCACAGAGAGATCGAATTTTGTATTTGATTTCAATTAGCAAGGCATAAATTATACTTAATTTTCTACTCCCAGAGACGGGATGCGTCACAGTTCAGCCATTGACAATGGAAGGATTCATTGCCTGGAAGCAAAATTGCCTCTCTGCCACCTTCTCCCCTCCCCTGTCTTCCTCTGAGTCTCCACCATCTACCTGAACGATGCAGACATTGCGAAGTCTCCACCTGGAGCTAAACTCACCCCATAATAAAATCTTGCAACAGCAGCTTCTTCTCTCTGCTGTGTTTATCAGCTCTTGGAAAGGGGGGGGGGGAAGCAGCTGCCTTTGGCAAAGGGGGGGGGGGGTTCACATGGGTGGAGATGCGGTACCAAAGCAGAGAAAATACCATACACTTTTGGCTCTAGAAGAGCAAATTAAATGCAGGAAGGCTGTGAAAAACCGCTTAATGCTCATTTTAATTTTCATCAGAGCCGCTTATATCTGAGTAAAAAGAGCTCTTAACACTGATTCTCACTAACCCAGCTGTGTGTGGGGAGAGGTGCAGTGTGGCCTCCAACTGTTGCTGAACCACAGTGACAATCAGCATAGGCCACGGAGGAGGATACTGGGAGTTGTAGTTTAGCAACATTCTTAATCCTGGCATGCCTTTTATTACACCCCACACCCCCATCACCATCTTTCCTTTGGAAATAAACATGCAAAATGCAGAGAGGGAGGAAGTGAAGATATTGCAGGAAAGGAAAACGCAGCTAAAGCTCCTTTGCACCACTGCCGTGCCCCTCCCTCCCTCCCTCCCTGCCCGGCCATTCTCCCTTGACCGCTTTCTTGGTCTTCACCTGCCTCTTCACCCATTCACCCTACATCTGGTTTATGTTTATGTTTCTCCTGACACGCCCAGCTCTTTTCTGTGTGACAGGAGTGGGCAAACTCATCCTCATAACAGACCACCGGCCAGCAATTATATTTGTATGTCTTAAAATGTCTCCCTCCATCTTTCCATCGTGAGGTCTCATATTCTTCTAATTGCTCTGTTTTATATACGCACACACACACACAGAGTAACTTGCAATCATCAATTCCATTTCCCTCGTCAAACCCAATTTTCTGTCCTTTATAAGTGAATAATTCCTCTGTCACAATTCTACTTCATCTTTCTTTCCATGCCCTCGGGACGGAGTCATTATTTTATATTCCTGGACTATCTTCCGAGCAATCCTGGGAGCCAAGTCGAAATGAGATACCAACGTTAGAATGCCCAACCTCAACAACCGCCTGGGGCTGCTCGATGGCAGAGCCCCTGGCTCCATTCAGACAACAGGACATACCATGGTTAGTTGCAGTCCTGGTTAGGCACCCATATCATTGCTCAGCTTCGCTAACTGCTACGGTGGCAGTTTTCTTTGGTGCTGAGCCTCTCGAGGGAAGCTGTGGGCCAGCTTCAGAATCTGAGATCCCGTGTTTGGAATAACGTCTGAAGTGAGCCTTGGAATCTCGCTGGTCCAGGAGAAAGAAACTTCCAGGTTGCTCAGATCAAAGGCTCCCTGTGAAGCCGTCTTCCTTTTGCTGCATAATGAAAGCAGAACATCTCCCATCTCTGGTGTGTTTCCACACTGTCGTGCATAATCCCTATCTAGCAGGTTGGGGGGAAATCATTTTACCACCTCATCCAATTGTGCCACTGGAAAAAAGCAACTGTATTTTTTTAATCAACAAAATGAAGAAGTAGTGAACTATAAAATTGCTAATTATTTTCTAGTAAATTTACTTTTGAATAACTTGAGACACCAATTACAAGGACCATTAAGCACCATTAGCAGGGGGTGTGCCAAGGCTGGATGCCGCTCGCAGCAGGCAAAGCAAGCGGAAGCTTTGATTTTCTGCTCAGAGGCGGGCACGGACTGCCTGCCCTCTTGCTTCTCTCCCATCCTTTGCCAGAAACTTAAAAAGTCATCAAATGTTTAATTATGTATTAAATTAGAATAGAGGGGTTTTCAGGAAAAGAAAAAGAGCCTGGTATTGCTGTACTGGGATTCCAGCATCCCTTGAGGGGGAAAACACTCTTCCTCTTCACTCGGAACCTTGGTTCTAACTGCCAGAGGATCCTGGCATGAAAGGGTGGGGGATTCACATCTTCCCTTGGGGTACCCTTCCAGGCCAGCTGGCAATCTTCTCTTCCACTGTCAGCCCAGTCAGATTTTCCTCCTGCTCCAGTCTGGTTAGTATACCCCAAAAGGTGACAATGTGGGTGTGTGTTCAAGGCTTGTGGCCACCCTCACCTCTCTGGGCAGGCACAAACTGCTCAGGGCTGGTGTGTCCTTCACACTGAAAGGGAGGCAACCACTGCTATCACAATGACTTGTTGCTGACATCTCCCCCCCCCCCCCCCCCCGCTTAGTGCATCAAGGTGATCCTATTTCTCTTTCCATACTGAGAGGGCTGTGTTTCCAAGCCTCAGGCCCCGTGTTGGTTACTCATCTACATTCAGACCAATCCATAGTTTCGTGCAGCTTCTTTCAAAGGGCTCAAAGGAGCCAAGGGCAACAATTCTTGGCCTCTTTCAGAGACTGGGCTGGGAGAGCTCTTCCTCCTGTCCTTCAAGAGGGCCAGTGAACAAGTCCTTGTGCAATTCTTGACTTGTCTTGACAGTGCAGTTGGGTGAGGACCCGGTTCCCAGGTGGGCTGCTTTCACCTCCCAACTGCAGCTTATGGCTGGGGGGGGGGGCACAGTAGTTAAGGACCCATATGCCAGCCTCAAAAATCATACTCTGAGGGCTTCTCATCAAACTTGAATGGGATGCCCCAAGTTCAGGTTTGGACTCTACTTAAAACGTAAATTATTGACGGAAGTGAAGAGGTGAAGGAAATGCTTATTAAATCTGCAGACAATGCAAAAATGGACAGGGTAGTGAATACATACAAAAACAGAAATACATTTCAAAAAATCTTGGTTAGAGGCTTAAAAAATGGGTTGAAAATAAGAGATTGAAATTTGACAGATAAATGCAATTTACTGCTTAGGAGAAATATATCAAATACACAAGGGTAATATGAGATCTTGGACAAGTAGCTGAATATAAATTAAAGGTAGAAGTTTCATATTCTTCAAAAGATTGCACGACAAACTGACTGTAACTTAAGTTGATCCTAGCCTTCTTCTGGATAAAATAGAACAATATAAGATGGATGGTTTCACGTGTAAATCTCTAGGTCTCCCTGGAGAGAGGCATGCAGTGGGGCGCTCTAGAGTTCCGTCCTGGGCTTTTCAACGTTTTCATCAATGATGCAGACAAGTGGATGGAAAGGCTACCCATCGTAGGTGCAGACACACAAAGCTGTAGGAGGGACTGTTAGCATTTCAAAAGATGGGCCCAGTGTTTGAAAGAATCTTAGTATATTTAAATATTGGGGCCTCTCCATCAATATATAATTTAATGGAGAGAAATGCACAGTTCTACATACCAATAAAAGAGAATATTTGTAGCTCAGGGTTGAAATAAGGGGTCCTTGGTGCTCTCCGAGCTTGGTTTTTTTTCTTGCAGATGTTTCATTAGCCAAACTAGGTAACATCATCATTTGATGTTGCTTATGATGTTACTTAGTTTGGGTAATGAAAGGTCTGCAAGAAACCAACCAAGTTCAGAGAGCACCAAACACCCCACAGTTCTACATTTTAGGAGAGCAAAACCAGATGCACAGGTACAAGATAGGCAGTGCCTGGCTCAAAAGTAACACTTGTAAGAATGGTCTAGGTATCCTGGTAGACCACCGATTAAATGCCAATCTCCTGCAGCTGCCAAAAGAGTCAATGCAGTCTTGGGCTGCATCAACCAAGATATGGTAGAAAGATCATGTTCTTAGTCATAGTTCTTCTGTAGACTGGGCTGGTCAAACCATCTGGAATAACTGTGTACATTTCTTGTGACAACATAAGGATGACATCGAGGAAGGGAAGGAGCGTAGAAACAAGTATTAAAGATGGTGATTGACTTGGAGATTAAGTCATATAAAAAACAATTAATGGAATTGTTTACCTAAAGAAGAGAAGGCTGGGAGGAGGGAGAGACAGACCTGATAGGAGCCTTCCAACATTATCACAGGGAAAGAGACTCTGAATTTATTCTGCATAGTATCTGAGAATAGGACAAGAACCAATGGCTGGGCACGCTACTGTGAGAAGTCCAAAGTCAAAATAAGGTGGAATTTCCTGACCATGAGAATGATCAGTCATTAGGTCAGCGGTTCTCAACCTGTGGGTCGGGACCCCATTTGGGGTCGAACGACCATTTCGCCAAACAACGCAGTCCGCCATTTTTTCCCCCTTTTCCTTAGCTGTGCCACTCCCTTTTATTCTGTTGGCTTTTGAAAGCCAATAGAATAGACTCTCTTGAATAGAGTCTAATTCTATTGGCTTTCAAAAGCCAATAGGAATTGCCCAGGCTGTCTCTGCCCTGCTGAGCCCACCAAAAGTCCCATTCTGCAAACGGTGCTGCAAGTTGTCTGCAGCGAAGGCGAGCTGTCTGGAAGCTTCCACCCCTCCCTGCTGAGCAACTACTAAAATGTAAGGAAAAGAGGGCCAGGGGTGGGAGGTGGGAGGCAGCGGGCGCAGGGAGGGTTGCTGGCACACATGGGGCCCGGTGGGTGCCTTACCTCCCTTGGGCTGGGCCAGCTGGTGGCCCAGCCCTGCGCTGTCTCTGCCGCTTGCCAGCTACGCCTCGGCCGGCGCAGGGGGCGGCACCACGCATGCGCGGCACTCCTGGGCAGGGAAAGTCCTCGACTTACGACCGGTTGGGTAGTCCTCGACTTACGACCAGTTGGGGGTCGCGGCATTAAAAAGGTTGAGAACCACTGCATTAGGTGATCAGTCTGCCTCCTGGTGTCCTGGATGCTCCGTTACTGGAGATTTTCAAGAAAAGTTGAAGAGCCACTGGTCTATAGTTTGACCTGTGCTGGAGTTGAACTAGAAGACCTCCAAGCTCTCTTCCAAATCTATAATTCCATTATCACTCTATGATAATTTAGAAGAAGATGAAGATCTGAACAGGACACAGATTACTGAACTTAAGTTCTAAGAAGGCAGATTGTGACACAACAGTGTAGCTAGGTCCTTTCTGCCATCCGGTCACATCATCTTCCAGACAGGCAAGCTGTGCCTGGAGGTGATAAGCTGAGTCTAAGAAATAGCAGGGAGTGAAACATGTATGCAATTTCACACAGAGAGAATTTCTCACTGGGGTGGGAGAAGAGAAAGGAAGTGAACTTGGAGA